AGTGGATGGATTATCTTGGCAAAGGAGAAATGCTCACTAACAGGGATGTAAACAAATTAGCGCCTAAAATGAGAGAAATACGTTTTTTGTGCATATAGAACATTTTTTGGGATCTTTTATTTCAGCTCATGGAACCAACATGAGCTGCATTTATATTTTTGTTCAGTGTACAAAGGCCTCCTATCTCCTCATCTCTCCTTCGACCCTACGACACACCATTCTGAATGCACACCAGGGGGGGGGCATAATCAAAAAACTTCTTACAAACCCTACATCCATGGACTGAAACCTATCATTTGTGTGTTATGTTAAATGTATTCTCGTGGATAGACTAATCGAGCAACTGAACAAATCACGCAAGATTTTAGTTCTGGGTTAACTGAGATGGGAGTTGAATGAGTGTTCTGGCCTCATGGTGAGCAACCAGAAGAGAAGTGAGGTGGTGGGGTCAGCGCTCTGGGGCAGAGGATATGACAGAGATACAGAGAGAGAGTCACAGAGAGAGAGGTGGGGCAGAGGGGGAGGGAGAGAGAGAGAGACAGAGACACAGAGAGAGAGATGGAGCGAGAGACACAGAGAGAGAGAGACAGAGAGAGAGAGAGACAGAGAGAGACAGAGAGAGAGACATAGAGACACACAGAGAGAGAGAGAGAGAGACACAGAGAGAGAGACAGAGAGAGAGAGAGACAGAGAGAGAGAGACAGAGAGACAGAGACAGAGAGAGAGAGACAGAGACACAGAGAGATAGGAGAGAGAGAGAGACAGAGAGAGAGACAGAGAGAGAGAGAGAGACAGAGAGACAGAGAGAGAGAGAGAGACAGAGAGAGAGAGAGAGAGAGAGAGAGACACAGAGAGAGAGAGACAGAGGGAGGAGCCCAGTAATATCAGTGTGTGATTCCCAAATACCATCCTATTCCCTTTATAGAAAAGTAGTGCACTATAGAGGGAGGCATTTTGGGACACAACCAGTCAGTGAATGGACAGGAGCCACTAGACCAGCCCACATGTATCAGGGTGGTCTGAACACATATGGCTTTATGAACGGTGTGTAGCAGCAGCAGCGTTAAAGATATCCACGTATCAGGGTGGTCTGAACACATATGGCTTTATGAACGGTGTGTAGCAGCGGCAGCGTTAAAGATATCCACGTATCAGGGTGGTCTGGACACATATGGCTTTATGAACGGTGTGTAGCAGCAGCAGCGTTAAATATATCCACGTATCAGGGTGGTCTGAAGACATATGGCTTTATGAACGGTGTGTAGCAGCGGCAGCGTTAAAGATATCCACGTATCAGGGTGGTCTGAACACATATGGCTTTATGAACGGTGTGTAGCAGCAGCAGCGTTAAAGATATCCACGTATCAGGGTGGTCTGAACACATATGGCTTTATGAACGGTGTGTAGCAGCAGCAGCGTTAAAGATATCCACGTATCAGCGTGGTCTGAACACATATGGCTTTATGAACGGTGTGTAGCAGCGGCAGCGTTAAAGATATCCACGTATCAGGGTGGTCTGGACACATATGGCTTTATGAACGGTGTGTAGCAGCAGCAGCGTTAAAGATATCCACGTATCAGGGTGGTCTGAACACATATGTCTTTATGAACGGTGTGTAGCAGCAGCAGCGTTAAAGATATCCACGTATCAGGGTGGTCTGGACACATATGGCTTTATGAACGGTGTGTAGCAGCAGCAGCGTTAAAGATATCCACGTATCAGGGTGGTCGGAACACATATGGCTTTATGAACGGTGTGTAGCAGCAGCAGCGTTAAAGATATCCACGTATCAGGGTGGTCTGAACACATATGTCTTTATGAACGGTGTGTAGCAGCAGCAGCGTTAAAGATATCCACGTATCAGGGTGGTCGGAACACATATGGCTTTATGAACGGTGTGTAGCAGCAGCAGCGTTAAAGATATCCACGTATCAGGGTGGTCTGAACACATATGTCTTTATGAACGGTGTGTAGCAGCAGCAGCGTTAAAGATATCCACGTATCAGGGTGGTCTGAACACATATGGCTTTATGAACGGTGTGTAGCAGCGGCAGCGTTAAAGATATCCACGTATCAGGGTGGTCTGAACACATATGGCTTTATGAACGGTGTGTAGCAGCGGCAGCGTTAAAGATATCCACGTATCAGGGTGGTCTGAACACATATGGCTTTATGAACGGTGTGTAGCAGCAGCAGCAGCGTTAAAGATATCCACGTATCAGGGTGGTCTGGACACATATGGCTTTATGAACGGTGTGTAGCAGCAGCAGCGTTAAAGATATCCACGTATCAGGGTGATCTGAACACATATGGCTTTATGAACGGTGTGTAGCAGCAGCAGCGTTAAAGATATCCACGTATCAGGGTGGTCTGAACACATATGGCTTTATGAACGGTGTGTAGCAGCAGCAGCGTTAAAGATATCCACGTATCAGGGTGGTCTGAACACATATGGCTTTATGAACGGTGTGTAGCAGCAGCAGCGTTAAAGATATCCACGTATCAGGGTGGTCTGAACACATATGGCTTTATGAACGGTGTGTAGCAGCGGCAGCGTTAAAGATATCCACGTATCAGGGTGGTCTGAACACATATGGCTTTATGAACGGTGTGTAGCAGCGGCAGCGTTAAAGATATCCACGTATCAGGGTGGTCTGAACACATATGGCTTTATGAACGGTGTGTAGCAGCAGCAGCGTTAAAGATATCCACGTATCAGGGTGGTCTGAACACATATGGCTTTATGAACGGTGTGTAGCAGCAGCAGCGTTAAAGATATCCACGTATCAGGGTGGTCGGAACACATATGGCTTTATGAACGGTGTGTAGCAGCAGCAGCGTTAAAGATATCCACGTATCAGGGTGGTCGGAACACATATGGCTTTATGAACGGTGTGTAGCAGCAGCAGCGTTAAAGATATCCACGTATCAGCGTGGTCTGAACACATATGGCTTTATGAACGGTGTGTAGCAGCAGCAGCGTTAAAGATATCCACGTATCAGGGTGGTCTGACCACATATGGCTTTATGAACGGTGTGTAGCAGCGGCAGCGTTAAAGATATCCACGTATCAGGGTGGTCTGGACACATATGGCTTTATGAACGGTGTGTAGCAGCAGCAGCGTTAAATATATCCACGTATCAGGGTGGTCTGAAGACATATGGCTTTATGAACGGTGTGTAGCAGCGGCAGCGTTAAAGATATCCACGTATCAGGGTGGTCTGAACACATATGGCTTTATGAACGGTGTGTAGCAGCGGCAGCGTTAAAGATATCCACGTATCAGGGTGGTCTGAACACATATGGCTTTATGAACGGTGTGTAGCAGCGGCAGCGTTAAAGATATCCACGTATCAGGGTGGTCTGAACACATATGGCTTTATGAACGGTGTGTAGCAGCGGCAGCGTTAAAGATATCCATGTATCAGGGTGGTCTGAACACATATGGCTTTATGAACGGTGTGTAGCAGCAGCAGCGTTAAAGATATCCACGTATCAGGGTGGTCTGAACACATATGGCTTTATGAACGGTGTGTAGCAGCAGCAGCGTTAAAGATATCCACGTATCAGCGTGGTCTGAACACATATGGCTTTATGAACGGTGTGTAGCAGCGGCAGCGTTAAAGATATCCACGTATCAGGGTGGTCTGGACACATATGGCTTTATGAACGGTGTGTAGCAGCAGCAGCGTTAAAGATATCCACGTATCAGGGTGGTCTGAACACATATGGCTTTATGAACGGTGTGTAGCAGCGGCAGCGTTAAAGATATCCACGTATCAGGGTGGTCTGAACACATATGGCTTTATGAACGGTGTGTAGCAGCAGCAGCGTTAAAGATATCCACGTATCAGGGTGGTCTGAACACATATGGCTTTATGAACGGTGTGTAGCAGCAGCAGCAGCGTTAAAGATATCCACGTATCAGGGTGGTCTGAACACATATGGCTTTATGAACGGTGTGTAGCAGCAGCAGCGTTAAAGATATCCACGTATCAGGGTGGTCTGAACACATATGGCTTTATGAACGGTGTGTAGCAGCAGCAGCAGCAGCAGCGTTAAAGATATCCACGTATCAGGGTGGTCGGAACACATATGGCTTTATGAACGGTGTGTAGCAGCAGCAGCGTTAAAGATATCCACGTATCAGGGTGGTCTGAACACATATGGCTTTATGAACGGTGTGTAGCAGCAGCAGCGTTAAAGATATCCACGTATCAGGGTGGTCTGAACACATATGGCTTTATGAACGGTGTGTAGCAGCAGCAGCGTTAAAGATATCCACGTATCAGGGTGGTCTGGACACATATGGCTTTATGAACGGTGTGTAGCAGCGGCAGCGTTAAAGATATCCACGTATCAGGGTGGTCTTGAACACATATGGCTTTATGAACGGTGTGTAGCAGCAGCAGCGTTAAAGATATCCACGTATCAGGGTGGTCTGAACACATATGGCTTTATGAACGGTGTGTAGCAGCGGCAGCGTTAAAGATATCCACGTATTGAGTGACATCCAAATCCAACCACCCTCTGGGACTTTGTTTTCCAAAAGTTATCTGAGTTTCGCCTGGCAGATAGGATTAAATGCAAAGAAATAGAATGACTTGCACAGGAGCCCCCATTCAAGTCAATGAGTCGTCAATTTCTACGCATTCCTACCCGATCGGCAAAATCCAGATAGATTTTACATTTTAGTCATTTAGCAGACGCTCTTATCCAGAGTGACTTATAGTTAGTGAGTGCATACATTATTTTTTTTATACTGGCCCCCCGTGGGAATCGAACCCACAACCCTGGCGTTGCAAACGCCATGCTCTACCAACTGAGCTACATCCCTGCCGGCCATTCCCTCCCCTACCCTGGACGACGCTGGGCCAAATTGTGCACCGCCCCATGGGTCTCCCGGTCGCGGCCGGCTACGACAGAGCCTGGATTCGAACCAGGATCTCTTTGAAATACTGGGCCCTGGGCATCAATTCATAAAGGGATCAGGTCAGTACAGGTTTTGAATGGGATCAGTACAGGTTTCCTGTAGTTACACTGATTATCTAGTAACAACATTGTATTACACATAGTAATTGCATAGCAATACACCAGTCACAAAATGGATAGTGTCCTCCTACACATTTAAGCAGATTTTGTTTTCAGTATTTTATTCATGACACCTGATGTGATGTGTTGCTCAAAAACATGTAAAATCACCAGCTTTGTCCCAGTCAATATGAACATACTAGCGTCACAATTGTATGTACTGATGCCCTCCAGTTCTCCTTCACCCATTCACTGTACAAATAGTATTAAGAATGGAAAGCCGCTAACAACGTGGATACAATTGCAGCATAATGAAACATCTTGTAAAGCAAAGAACAGGATGCTTTACATACCAAACACACAGTGGTCACAAAGACTGGTCACTTGTCAGATAGGATCTTCTGTGATGGGATTTAGAAGGATCTTTAAAATACACACACATCGGCTGATCCAAAAGGTCCAGTCAATATAAACATCCGGAGTGGGGTCACATGATACCGTTGTGAGGGAGGCCATTCCTCTGGTGTCCCAAAGCAAACGAGGCCAGTTCTGATCACCCCATAGGTCCTCTGTGACAGGGCAGGGAACAGTCTATTTCTTCTTGGTGGCCCTCTTCCCCTCTCCCTTCTTCGGTTTGCCCTTGCCTCTCAGTTTCCTCAGCCGACGCATCTCCTCCTTGAAGTCCTCGTGCTCATCTCTGGTGGGGAACAGGGAGGAAACGGTGTTACTGATGTGGGCTAAACTAGTACTACACTAAAATAGGTGGAAAGAAGAATACAGAGACACACAGGGTCTAGAAAACTGTCTGGTTAGAAGACAGAGACAAACAGGGTCTAGAAAACTGTCTGGTTAGAATACAGAGACAAACAGGGTCTAGAAAACTGTCTGGTTAGAAGACAGAGACAAACAGGGTCTAGAAAACTGTCTGGTTAGAATACAGAGACAAACAGGGTCTAGAAAACGGTCTGGTTAGAAGACAGAGACAAACAGGGTCTAGAAAACTGTCTGGTTAGAATACAGAGATAAACAACATCTAGAAAACTGTCTGGTTAGAACACAGAGACAAACAGGGTCTAGAAAACTGTCTGGTTAGAACACAGAGACAAACAGGGTCTAGAAAACTGTCTGGTTAGAACACAGAGACAAACAGGGTCTAGAAAACTGTCTGGTTAGAACACAGAGACAAACAGGGTCTAGAAAACTGTCTGGTTAGAACACAGAGACAAACAGGGTCTAGAAAACTGTCTGGTTAGAACACAGAGACAAACAGGGTCTAGAAAACTGTCTGGTTAGAACACAGAGACAAACAGGGTCTAGAAAACTGTCTGGTTAGAACACAGAGACACACAGGGTCTAGAAAACTGTCTGGTTAGAATACAGAGACAAACAGGGTCTAGAAAACGGTCTGTGGTTAGAAGACAGAGACAAACAGGGTCTAGAAAACTGTCTGGTTAGAACACAGAGACAAACAGGGTCTAGAAAACTGTCTGGTTAGAACACAGAGACAAACAGGGTCTAGAAAACTGTCTGGTTAGAACACAGAGACAAACAGGGTCTAGAAAACTGTCTGGTTAGAATACAGAGACAAACAGGGTCTAGAAAATAGTCTGTGGTTAGAAGACAGAGACAAACAGGGTCTAGAAAACTGTCTGGTTAGAATACAGAGACAAACAGGGTCTAGAAAACTGTCTGGTTAGAATACAGAGACAAACAGGGTCTAGAAAACTGTCTGGTTAGAATACAGAGACAAACAGGGTCTAGAAAACTGTCTGGTTAGAATACAGAGACAAACAGGGTCTAGAAACGGTGTAATTTCACTGTCTGTGGTTAGCCAGAAGAACCTAGAGTAGAGCTGTATACATTATTGCACAAGGCCAAAACACAGACATGCCAAAAGAACCCCGATCCCTTTCCCGTGAATAGGCCTAGCGATCTATTAAGGCCAAACACCACGGCATGTCTACCTGAAGAGTCCCATGTATCGTAGCTTCTGTGTAAGGGCGTAGTAGATCTTGTGTTGGGGGTACCAGTCATACACCTCCTTCTTCTGGGCCATGGGCGGCTCCTTGAACAGCTGGACCACCTTCATGGACTTGTTGTCTGTAGGACGCACCACATCCCCAAAGATACGTGCGCTGAGACGCGCGATACGCACGCCGTAGTTCGACAGACTGGCCATAGCTAGCTGAAATACAAGAGGAAAGAGGAGCAGCAAAGTAAAAAATAAAAATTTCAAAAAATAATAATAATAACCTAGACGGGTTAGCTGACAACGTCACGCGCACTTCAATGGGGGCAGAAGTCTGTGTGCTGTTGTTGTGATTCTGGATAGCAAGATCGCTAGCAACAATGAAAAGAAGCTGCCCTGTGGGGAATCGTAGGTGGCTCGTTTCAGCTAGTTGTATCTTGTTCTTGATAACGTGTCTTGTTTTGACTGATGGCCGATCTATTCTAATATGGCTAAAAATTTGCTAGCTACCTGACCAACAATTGTAACGATGTATTTGAGACAAGTGCTCATTGTGCAAATGTATGTTTTCAATAAATATTGGAGACTAAATATAGTTTACGTGTTGTCAACGATCTAAACAGGAGACGTTGAATATGGTGATTCTCTTTTTAAGCCCAGGAAGCAGTCATTCTACTTGCCATTAACCAGCTTTTCAAGCTTAATAATGTCCAAGTAAGCACCAAAGCCACCTTTCCTGCACCTCCAATAGAATCACTCATTACTGCCACGCACAGGTTGGCTGATCCAATAAAATCACTCATTACTGCCACGCACAGGTTGGCTGATCCAATAAAATCACTCATTACTGCCACGCACAGGTTGGCTGATCCAATAAAAATCACTAATTACTGCCATGCACAGGTTGACTGATCCAATAAAATCACTCATTACTGCCACGCACAGGTTGGCTGATCCAATAAAATCACTCATTACTGCCACGCACAGGTTGGCTGATCCAATAAAATCACTCATTACTGCCACGCACAGGTTGGCTGATCCAATAAAATCACTCATTACTGCCATGCACAGGTTGGCTGATCCAATAAAATCACTCATTACTGCCACGCACAGGTTGGCTGATCCAATAAAATCACTCATTACTGCCACGCACAGGTTGGCTGATCCAATAAAATCACTCATTACTGCCACGCACAGGTCGGCTGATCCAGCAGCTGGAAAGGTCATTGATTTTTCATCCAGAGAGGAAGAGGTCGAAGTGACAGGGTTTCACTCTCGACCAAAACCTGTCCAAAATAAGCCCGATACGTTTCTATGGGCTTGTTTTGGACCTAAGCTTGGTCGCCTGCCTTCCCTCCTTTGTGACAACGACTCCCATCGTTAGTGGCGGAGGCATGACCATCGTCATTATAGACAGATCTCTGTTTTAATCACATACAACAGTGTATGAACATAACATCTAAAAAAAATCGGTTGTTTCACCTGTGCTACACGGAATGCAATAATATTTCCTGTAAGTAGATCAAGCAGACGATATAAGCTAGGTTTTTAACAGCGATTGTATATTTCTAGATAGGCTTTATTTAGTGCATTTTTAATTCCATTACTAATATTGCAGGAGGTGAAGAGATTTGGCGCATGTGCACTTGCTCAAAAACAATACTTTTGATTATTTCCAGACAAGGCATGTTTTCGGTTGCATGCAACTTTTTATTCAGAGCTTTTTTGGAAGTACATACCAGCTGGAACGGCAGTAATGACGATAGTTGCTCAGCGAAACTCCATTCTTTGGTAGCTAATTACCCAATGTATTTTGACATTATTAACCTTGAAAAGCGGGTGAATGGCAAGTTGAATGGCTGCTTCCTGGGCTTAAAGTGGAACTGACTGCATTTTAGTAACATTAAATCTTATTCAAATCTGTTCATACACACCCCCAGGAATTTCTGACAAACGAGCACTTAGATATGGACATTTTCACGTTTTCATAAAATGTTTGGGAAATGACCTATAGTAAGGCATTTGTGAAAATTCTATAGCAAGATAGAGTGGGGAAAAGGCCATGTGTTTGTACAATTAATAGACACTGCAGGAAATAAAGCCAAATAAAAAAAATCTGTCTCATCCAGGACCAGAGTCTACGCAGACCGGTGCGCCATAGCCAATAAGAGCTACAGTAGGCCTTTATGCAAACAAGCCATTTTCCACACAGGCCTGCCATCATTCACTTTGAACTGGACTGTGTGTTTACAGGCAGTAGCAACAGCGCGACTTTAGATCATTACAACACATTGGCCAAAAGCCACAAAATACACCTGAATGGATTTCTGCAAATATGTAAATACCACAGAGTCCTCTTACATTTGGGAACTTCACAGTCCTGTTGATCAAACAACCATGAAAAAGGTAGGCTCTCTTTCACTATATGAACATCAACAACAAGATCAACAACTAATGCTAGCCAGAGCAAGATTAGCTCAAATCTAACAAAGGAACATTAGATAAACCCTCTCAAACTTTTTCAGCTAGTTGGCCATCAAAATTGCACTGATACGCGATGGGGAATTGTAGCCTCCTCGCCCTTCCGCAGCTTGCCTGCCAATGCATGCTTGTCCCAACCAAGCACCCAAAGCTAACTGGCTAGAGTTGGCTAGCTTGCTAGCTAGCTACTTCCAGACACAAATGAGAGAACACCTCACTCTGACCATTTGACTCGCCCTAGCAGAGCTGGTTAGGCTGTTTACATGTTATCTAGCACGCGACTAACATACTTTTTTTCCCCCCCTATGTTTACTGACACCGGTCATATTCAGTGGGTGTTGTGGGTTGGTAAATTCATCAGTTATTCTGCGCTCTGGCACACTCAGACAAGAGTGCTCTGATCTCAGGAGTAGATAGCCAGAGTGAATTTGCGAACGCAAGAGATATGCTAACTGGACAACAGTTGTTCAATTGCAGCATAGCTAAGCGATTCACATTTCTTGCTAGCTAACCAAATGACACCTGCATCCCTAGCTGTGTAGCCACCGAAAAACGATATGAGGGAAAAAGTCACTCACTCACCCACTCCAATGACATGACATCCTCCTAGCATCTAGCTATCTACCTAAGTTTAGGCTCCGTGTTTTTAGCTTGCTACATAAATTGATACGCTAGCCTATAAGCCACATTATAACTGACTTGTGATCATTGCCCTTGGCCTTTGCTAGTTTGATTGTATTGACAATCCCATCCTTAGTTACATTCGTCCGTTTTTGTCCAAAATATTGAGTCATTGAAACTGAAACAGTGCATATCGAATGGAGGCAGGAAACAATGTACCAGGCCACCTGTGATTTACATCCTGATAGCAATATTGTTTGGACTACCAAGAAATGTATTGGTTTATTATATTAATCATGCATTGAACTGCATCCATCTATTCTGCCAACAATTCCTTACGGTAGGTCATTGAATGTTGAGTGAAATATAACCTATTTTTAAAACCTCTTATAAAGTTGGTTTCGTACCATAAACTGGTAATTTGATATTTTTGACTGATATGATTGTCTGTTTCATATCTGCAAAGTAGTTAAAACGCTGTCAGTTCCACTTAAAAAATAGTCCAAGGGCCACCCACCATAAATGTGTTGTTTCTTGACCCAGGTAACAAAACTGAAAAAATTTCAACAATACTACCTAGATAATGTTCTGAATGTATCCACCGGGTGGGTCTAATCCTGAATGCTGATTGGTTAAAAGCGCATTCCAGCCGGTGTCTATTCCACAAATTGCCACAGCTAAATGGATGACGTTAAAATGGCCATTTACTCTGTTCCATCTGACTGCCTCATCAGCCCAGCCAGGCAAATTATAAACTTGATCTCCACTATAAAAAGCATCTAGATATTATCTCACATTTATTTTAGACTGACATTTAGTTTTCAACAGCGGAGATTTGTATCAACTTGCGTCTCTCCGACATTTGCAACATTGTTTCAATATTCACATTTTATCTCCAGCTGTCCCCATAGCAATGAACCTGTATCGGTCGGGAGTCGGGACAAGACAGACAGGCAGCTTTTCTCAGCCAGTCGAAATCATGAATCAGCTGGCATCCTTTTTATGGATATATACAAAGAAATTTCAATTTAAAAAAAAGGTGAAACGAAGTGCAGCTAGTTTGCAGTCTTTCCAGCTTCAGTGTTTTGAAGTGATTGTGTTAGCTGTGTTGTTGACTAGTTCCTCTGAACAACAGTGTCCTGACGAGAGAGCACATTTTCTATGCCAGGGTGAAATAACGCCTCATTAGCTCATTGTTATGGATGTATCTAAATAAATGTCACTAGAAAACAGCTTCAACAAATGCAGCTACTGTTGTACTTCTTTTGACGTGACTAAGTTAGCCGTAGTTAGCTAGCTAGCTAGCTAGCTAGCTAGGGATAAGAACGACTGTCTCCAGCCTAACAACACCCGTCCAAATATATCCTCCAAAACACCGGCTTCTCCGGCATTATCACTTAAATGAACACTGTGGTGGTTCAAAACGTGTAAAAGTTGCACATACCTTCATTTTTAATAAAAATTACGATTTTTTTCTCCATCGAAATCATACTAGCGCATCTTGGGTTATTTCCCTAGCAACGTTGCCGTTTCACCATGGTTACTGTCGTTACGCACAGACCTTTCTATGGGTTGCGTTGTCCTGGCATAAAACTGAAGCGACATTTTACATTTTAGCAGACGTTCTTATGCAGAGCGACTTACAGTTAGTGAGTGCATACATTTTTTCATACTGCCCCCCCCCCCCGTGGGAATCGAACCCACAACCCTGGTGTTGCAAGCGCCATGCTCTACCAACTGAGCTACACGGGGAACACATGTCACCGCTCCTGTTTGGCCTCTTGGACTAAAAGGAGACTCGCCATATTCAACGTCTTCTGTAAACCCAGTTTTGCCCCAAAGTTGCTAAACAACCAACCCGTTTATGAAACAGCTTCATTGGTCATGGTTTTAAAACCAATCGAATAATCATAGCCACCACATCATAAACGTTCATGATCAGACCGTTTTAAAACATGCACCAGACAGAGGAAGGCATACACACTAAAATGACAAAATGGCTCACTGTGTCCACAGTCAAATACATACCTGGAATCACCGCGACTTGTGCAGTAGCTTTGTTATATCCAATGCAGATATATTACCATGTTCTACACGATAATTGCATAACTTGCTACTCAGTGTGTGACTGGTAATTGTTATTGTATTTCGTTAAATGTGTCGCTAACCTTCAAGCATGCCACCACTTCTTCTATAATATGCCTCTTCTTCTTCGATGTGGTTTAACGGCGGTTGGCATCCAAAAAATGTTGCATTACCGCCACCTACTAGACTGGAGTATAACTCCCTTCTACTTTGCTTGAAAATAAAAAAAATATAAAAAATCTTCAAATACCCTACAATCCAACCCTACACTCACTAAAAACCCAACACCCTACTCCCCTATTTAAATATATCTAGTCCTACCTCAGACCAACAGCCTGAAAGGACGGGACACCACCTCTCATTTTTACATTTTAGTCATTTAGCAGACGCTCTTATCCAGAGCAACTTACAGTTAGTGAGTGCATACATTATTTTATTTTATTTTTCATACCCCCCGTGGGAATCGAACCCACAACCCTGGCGTTGCAAACACCATGCTCTACCAACTGCCGGCCATTCCCTCCCCTACCCTTGACCAATTGTGCGCCGCCCCATGGGTCTCCCGGTCGCGGCCGGCTACGACAGAGCCTGGATTCGAACCAGTATCTCTAGTGGCACAGCCTTAGACCACTGCGCCACTCGGGAGGCCAACCTTCACTCAACACACTCAATCAATCAAATTTTATTTATAAAGCCCTTTTTACATCAGCAGATGTCACAAAGTGCTATACAGAAACCCAGCCTAAAACCCCAAACAGCAAGCAATGCAGATGTTCTCACCTCCATCCCTAGTGCCTTAATGTTCTCACCTCCATCCTTAGTGCCTGTATGTTCTCACCTCCATCCCTAGTGCCTGTATGTTCACACCTCCATCCCTAGTCCCTGTATGTTCTCACCTCCATCCCTAGTGCCTTAATGTTCTCACCTCCATCCTTAGTGCCTGTATGTTCACACCTCCATCCCTAGTGCCTGTATGTTCACACCTCCATCCCTAGTCCCTGTATCTTCACACCTCCATCCCTAGTGCCTGTATGTTCACACCTCCATCCCTAGTGCCTGTATGTTCTCACCTCCATCCCTAGTGCCTGTATGTTCTCACCTCCATCCCTACTGCCTGTATGTTCTCACCTCCATCCCTAGTCCCTGTATCTTCACACCTCCATCCTTAGTGCCTGTATGTTCTCACCTCCATCCCTACTGCCTGTATGTTCTCACCTCCATCCCTACTGCCTGTATGTTCACACCTCCATCCCTAGTATGTTCTCACCTCCATCCCTAGTGCCTGTGTGTTCTCACCTCCATCCCTGGTGCCTGTATGTTCTCACCTCCATCCCTAGTGCCTGTATGTTCTCACCTCCATCCCTACTGCCTGTATGTTCACACCTCCATCCCTAGTGCCTGTATGTTCTCACCTCCATCCCTAGTCCCTGTATGTTCTCACCTCCATCCCTAGTCCCTGTATGTTCACACCTCCATCCCTAGTCCCTGTATGTTCACACCTCCATCCCTAGTGCCTTAATGTTCTCACCTCCATCCTTAGTGCCTGTATGTTCACACCTCCATCCCTACTGCCTGTATGTTCTCACCTCCATCCCTACTGCCTGTATGTTCTCACCTCCATCCCTAGTGCCTGTATGTTCTCACCTCCATCCCTACTGCCTGTATGTTCACACCTCCATCCCTAGTATGTTCTCACCTCCATCCCTAGTGCCTGTATGTTCTCACCTCCATCCCTAGTCCCTGTATGTTCTCACCTCCATCCCTAGTGCCTGTATGTTCTCACCTCCATCCCTAGTGCCTGTATGTTCTCACCTCCATCCCTAGTCCCTGTATGTTCTCACCTCCATCCCTAGTGCCTGTATGTTCTCACCTCCATCCCTACTGCCTGTATGTTCACACCTCCATCCCTAGTGCCTGTATGTTCTCACCTCCATCCCTAGTCCCTGTATGTTCACACCTCCATCCCTACTGCCTGTATGTTCTCACCTCCATCCCTACTGCCTGTATGTTCACACCTCCATCCCTACTGCCTGTATGTTCTCACCTCCATCCCTACTGCCTGTATGTTCTCACCTCCATCCCTACTGCCTGTATGTTCTCACCTCCATCCCTACTGCCTGTATGTTCACACCTCCATCCCTACTGCCTACATTATTGTTTGCCACTTGGTCTTAAATTGTCCCAATTTGTTTCTCAGTCGCCCATGCTATTTCAATATGTAATCATAAATCATTAGATTTTTCCATTGATTGACTACCATGTTTTTAGGGCCTGGACATGCGCTGGCTTGAGCAGGGGAACCTTGCGTGCGCTGCAGGATTTTAATCCATGACGGCGTAGTGTGTTACTAATGGTTTTCTTTGAGACTGTGGTCCCAGCTCTCTTCAGGTCATTGACCAGGTCCTGCCGTGTAGTTCTGGGTTGATCCCTCACCTTCCTCATGATCATTGATGCCCCACGAGGTGAGATCTTGCATGGAGCCCCAGACCGAGGGTGATTGACCATCATCTTGAACTTCTTCCATTTTCTTATAATTGCGCCAACAGTTGTTGCCTTCTCACCAAGCTGCTTGCCTATTGTCCTGTAGCCCATCCCAGCCTTGTGCAGGTCTACAATTCTATCCCTGATGTCCTTACACAGCTTTCTGGTCTTGGCCATTGTGGAGAGGTTGGAGTCTGTTTGATTGAGTGTGTGGACAGGTGTCTTTTATACAGGTAACGAGTTCAAACAGGTGCAGTTATACAGGTAATGAGTGGAGAACAGGAGGGCTTCTTAAAGAAAAACTAACAGGTCTGTGAGAGCCGGAATTATTACTGGTTGGTAGGTGATCAAATACATATGTCATGCAATAAAATGCAAATTAATTACTTAAAAATCATACAATGTGATTTTCTGGATTTTTGTTTTAGATTCCGTCTCTCACAGTTGAAGTGTACCTATGATAAAAATTACAGACCTCTACATGCTTTGTAAGTAGGAAAACCTGCAAAATCGGCAGTATATCAAATACTTGTTCTCCCCACTGTAGATGGATTAAAAGTAAGTTTACATTGTAATGCTTCTGACAGCAAACGTTCTAGCTCTGCCCACAACGTCCAAACTTTATAGCATTCCCAGAAAGCATGGATTATTCAGTCATTATTAGTTGAGAATTCACTCTGCCGTTGTGCTGTAGAATTTGTGAATTTTGTCTCTTGTATAATACATTCGATACATTAATTTATACTGGATTAAGCATATATTTTCGTTAACTGTAATCTCGTTAGTTATGTTCCAACATTACCTCCATCTTGTGCCAACATCAGTTACTTTTTAAATCTTGGTTCCAATAGTTTATATATTTTCTAAGAGGTTGTCAGTTGGATATGTCGTCTGCAAGGTTTTGTAGATCTTCCCTATCATATGAACATCCTTTTCTGATTCAAATAAGATTCCCTCAAGGTTGCTCTGATGTCCAAAAGATTTCAAATCGAAATTTCGTAATGTGTAACTTTTAAATTGCATGTATTTGAAACTATCTACATTGGTCAGTCCAAAATTACTTTTTAATTCTGTCATGGACATAAATGTATTTCCTGTTACCAAGTCATTTACAGGTTTCTGTGCCTTTAGTTTTCCATGAGGACCAATTTATCGGTGAGTTCTGAAAAGCTATCCAAGGATTATTCCATAGGGTTGTGTTTATAGGGAGTGGTATTGGTTCTTGTAAAATACGTAACATTTTCTTCCATTTTGTTGTAGTGTTCTTAACTATGAAGTTGTTAATGTTCTTAGCTTTATCCTTTGAAAATAGACACCTGAAAAGATTCTGGGGATGAGCATATACATCTTCAATATGTACCCATTGTTCCTCTTCAGTGCATTTAACTATAGGTCACAAGTAAAAGCCTTGGGTGGCGAGTTGATACAATTCCAAGTCTGGAAGGTTAAAACCCCCCTCAGACTCAGGAAGATGTAAAACTTTCCCTTTTATTCTATGAGTTATATTTGCCCATATAAAGTCTGTTATGACCGACTATACTTTTTTAAAGAATGTCTTCAGTAGGTTATTTGGTATTACCGAAAATACAATATATATACAAGCAGTATGTGGACACCCATTCAAATTAGTGGATTCGGCTATTTCAGCCACACCCGTTGCTGACAGCTGTATAAAATCGAGCACACAGCCATGCAATCTCCATAGACAAACATTGGCAGTAGAATGGCCTTACTGAAGAGCTCAGTGACTTTCAACGTGGCACCGTCATAGGATGCCACCTTTCCAACAAGTCAGTTCGTTAAATGTCTGCCCTGCTAGAGCTGCCCCGGTCAACTGTAAGTGCTGTTATTGTGAAGTGGAAACGTCTAGGAGCAACAACGACTCAGCCGCGAAGTGGTAGGCCACAAAAGCTCACAGAACGGGACTGCCGAGCGCTGAAGAGCGTAAAAATAGTCTGTCCTCGGTTGCAACACTCACTACCGAGTTCCAAACGGCCTCAGGATGCAATGTCAGCGGGAGTTTCATGAAATGGGTTTCCATGGCCGAGCAGCAGAACACAAGCCTAAGATCACCAAGCGTCGGCCGGAGTGGTGTAAAGCTCGCCGCCATTGGACTCTGGAGCAGTGGAAACGCGTTCTCTGGAGTGATGAATCACGCTTCACCATCGGGCAGTCCGACGGACGAATCTGGGTTTGGCGGATGCCAGGAGAACGCTACCTGCCCGAATGCATAGTGCTAACTTTAGAGTTTGGTGGATGAAGAATAATGGTCTGGGGCTGTTTTCATGGTTCGGGTCCTTTAGTTCCAGTGAAGGGAAATCTTAACACTACAGCATACTATACAATGATATTCTAGACGATTCTGTGCTTCCAACTTTGTGGCAACAGTTTGGGGAAGGCCCGTTCCTGTTTCAGCATGACAATGCCCCCGTGCACAAAGCGAAGTCCATACAGAAATGGCTTGTCGAGGTCGGTGTGGAAGAACTTGACTGGCCTGCACAGAGCCCTGACCTCAACCCCATCGAACACCTTTGGAATGAATTGGAACACCAACTAATGAATTGGAACACCAGGCCTAATCGCCCAACGTCAGTGCCCGACCTCACCAATGCTCTTGTGGCTGAATGGAAGCAAGTCCCCGCAGCAATGTTCCAACATCTA